CAAATTTGCTTAATATCAGGAGTTTATAATCTTAAATCAAGTGCTTTCAAGTGTAACATTACGATGTACAGGTGCGTATGATACTATATACTCAGGGATATGAATACATATTTTTGCAAGATATATACAGCATTTTATATAAAAGACTGAAGATAATCTATGAAAGAAGGCAAGCTCGAGACGAGTTATGATCTATAGAACTAACTACAAATATTGTTTATTGTAAGCCAGCATTAGTCTTATCAAGGTAGTAGACATGACTGAAGAAACTTTTAAAATTTAGAACAATACAAACTATCATTGTTAACTTAATAATATCTTCATTTAAATAATCAGTAATCATCATAACTTAATTAACTTGTCAAAGTATAAGGAGATTCCTGAAACATGTGACGTGAACCACTCAAAATCCCATACATGGGAATTATTTAATTGTAAGTACAGACACACATGAAATAGGTAGATTAGTAATGTTAAAATTTGTACAACACGTCAAAAAGTTGTGAATAAGTTGGAGAAATGGGATATTATTATAGGTTGATAAGACTGAAAAATTGACACATGAAATAGCTGTAATTATTGGCTATGCTGGGTTGTGTATGAAACTATTCAACAGTGTTGTAAGCCTAATAGTGAAACGTCTGAAACCATTATGATCAACAGAAATGCTATTTGAGCATGAAAAACGTTCTTTCCTTAATCGTATCAAAAAATGTAAAAATAATTACTGACGTAAATTCACAATGAATTGACGACATCCCATGTAGTCACGTGTGAACAGCCATTATTTGTGAGATTAAACTGTTGCTGAAGGCCTTTAGCGTTATATTAATTAATATTTCATTGAATTATTAGAACTTTTCACTACGTCATAAACATTATCATTTAGTGAACAGTTGTTCATTAATGGTTCCAGCTCGACTGTCGAAAACTGGCAATACTAGTTTTTAAAGTGGTGAAAAATCCGAGGTAATTCAAACAAATGAGATTTGTGATAGCACGATCTCCACGAATGTCAGGGTATGCTGAAGGACTGGGGCATGTAAATTATATTCCTTGACTTCATATAATGTCTTCCATCAATGAAGTCTTGATGATCGATAAAGATTGCAGACTGGTGATAGCTGCTCACCTAGTTTCGAAGTGGTGGAAGAATTTAAGCTTATAGAGGCAGTTAAACGAACATACAGTATTTTGTTATTCCAAGTGTGAAAGACTGTGACGGGAACATTTTGGTTTAACTGGCGATTTACACAGTGGGTATAAAACGTATCTGCAATGTGCTTACAAATCAAAATACCCACAGATATCAACAGGACTTGTAATACACAAACATTCCTGTTGTTATGGCAAAATATTTGGTCAGAAATCCAACTTGTTGTTTAGCATGTCAATGCTACTTGTGAAAAAGCAAGTACAGCTCAGGCTTGGTTCCAATGAATCAAGATTAACGATCTGAAATAGGCTCCTCAAGGCCAGAAAATTAACTTTGGAGCGGTTAATAAGACAAGTCTGACCACAGCGAAACAGCAATGGAGACAACTTGTATTACATGTAATGTAGTTGAGTCCACGTCTGGAACAAAAGAAGCACTTACTAAGTGTAAGCCAAAGACTCTGACACAGAGTCAAGACATATAGTGATCACTAAAAAATAACCAATATTCAACTTTTATTTACAATGTTATAAAGATGAAAAATTTTTCAGCTGTTTATGTTTTAATTTCTTTTTTGCATAAACCGAGTTATAAAACCTGAAATTTACAAAGTTCAAGGTTCTTAGCGCACCTCACTTCCACATTAAAAATATTTGCTGTGATTTTGATCTTTAACCTAGAATCAAGTAGTTCATAACACAAGTGTGGACAACAATATCAACGCTTATGATGCCATCATAGTAACCCGTAGCTGTTGGCAGGGTTACTCGAAGTAAAATATTAATTATGATCTCATAATTGCTCATAGCGCAGCGGATTACTCGTACAAAAACGTTATTGACGGCGTTATTATAGCAAATACCACTAATAGCGGGGTTACTAGTATCACAACGACGACAATCACAAAGTTATCGATTAGAGTCTGGTAACGCAAGCAAGCAGCGATTTCTAAACAACTAGTTGAAACCGTGACACAAAACATACGAAGCTACAGATTTTTACGTCTACACCATATTATATCTCTGTTAACAGAAGCTCTCATTTATTAGACTATTGAGTAATTCTTTATTTTATGGTCTTGCTAACAATTTTCAAGGCACGAATACAAGTGACATTAAACAACATACATTACACTACTTATGTTATTTAACCCTGATTATAGACAAACACATATACGTTCAATACATACACGTATTAATATTCAAGTTTGATAAATCACTCTATATCAATGCATACAAAAAAAAAACATTAATATTCTCCTCAATATTTGAACAGATCTAATCTATACAATAGGTCTAATTATAATCAGAAAGGCTATAATGTAGCAGTTGGATATATACAGCACAAAAAGGGAAATTTTAAAATCAAAACTGAAACATAGCTGAAAACCAAATAATCACAGTTAATTAAATTAAAATAAGATCAATTGTGGTCACAAATAATTTTGAGGGCTTTCTTTGACTTCCAGTGTTTGAATGAAGCATTACGACAGTTCATAAGTGCCCATATATTCTAAAAAACAACAACAAAAACGTAAGTTAAAAATCACCCATCACTTTTAAACTGAATGACCAAAATGTTGATCATGTAAAACAACATCGTGCTTTTCGCAGAATAGTTGTGACATTTACTGTGATAAAATAAAAGTGTTTTGGAGCTTCACGCAAATCTAATCAAGGGTTATCTACCTAAAGCCGTCCCCAATTTTGAACTGATAAGCTAAAGGAAAAACAGCTATTCAACAGCACACACCGCCAAATCTTACGTGACCAAGTAGTGGCATTTGACAGTTTCTTTTATTCAGACGTTGAGTAGGTTATAGTAAAAAGATTTTGGAACCTTGCCAAGTCGTTAAAGTCCATGTCGCCACGTTTGACCATTACGGTGTATCTTGAAAATAGTCCTGCAGCGCAGTTTCCATTACAAGATACTCTGTCATAAGACTGTCAAGGCTGAAAACATACCCCCCTTCTGAAATATTTTCCATAATTCATCTAATGTACGAGGACGACTGTTTCTCAGCGCCCGTTTCAACAGTCAATCCGGTCGCACAGAAATCATTAGGTCCTGTGTCAGGCGATTTGACCAGTATTTCTTCGTATAGAATAGTATGAATACCCATTTCATTCTCCGCCTGTTTGGGGTATAGACGGTTCAAGGGATATGCTGTGGAAGCAACTTGTCTACACGTGACGTGTGTCGGTTTTCCAGACAGATATTCTTCTTGATTATGTTGCTTACTGTTCCTTGGGTTACGTGGACGGCTTTTGCCATTGGCATTTGTATTCGTGAATACCCACCAGTTACAAGATGCCGCAATTTGCTTATAATGGTTGGGGTACGACTTGTTGCAGGTTTCTTTTTGGCTGGGCCTGGTACATCAACTTGATACACAAGGGATATCTTTGTCTTAATAAAATCTAAATCCCAGATCTCAATCTGAGTGTACGAATATATTGCGTCGAAAGAAAAGCTGTTACATACTGTTCCCAAAAGTGATAAATTTTCGGTGGTATCACATCATCTAAGTGATGTCAAACAATGTTAAAATATAGTTCTGACACATTCCGAAAAAAAAGCTGTTACATACCGTTCCCAAAAGTGATAAATTTTCGGTGGTATCACATGACCTACGTGATGTCAAACAATGTTAAAATATAGTTATGATACATTCCGTTCTACTGCCACTTTACATCGGCTGTGCTTGTCACGTGACTTGATGATTTCAAAATTCAAATCGTTTCTACATACCGTATTCAACCCGCTGTAGCGCACCCACGTCCCAAAGTGTAGAACGTAGTTTTTAACGCAATGGGCCGCGAACCTTGAATACTCACAATCACGGTCCGATCACCTTAATCACTAAAGCACGCCCGGCTCGTGACAAAAAGGGCCTTATCGACTACCCGAATACTACATAATTTTGTAAATTCATATCTCTTCTATAAGTCTTAAAACATCTTTATACACATATACAACTAAAAAATCTAGAGCATCAACAAACTGTAAATAAATGCACTGGTATAGAAATACAAAAAGCAATTTAACCAGAAGAGAAACAGAAATAAGTATTATATAATCTTAAAAAAAAAAGCAGTGCATATGAAAATGCACATAGTAAGAATGCATACAGGAGGATATTCATATTGGGGTAGTGACATACAAAGTTAGTTGGCCTATTCTAGCGCCCGTAATCCTAAATTACTTAAGTAACAGGGACAGACCTATCTTATTTGGTAGACAAACTATTTGTTTATAAGCTTCCCATAACAATCACTGCTGGATGGTCGCTGTTTTAATGTCGATTTTATCTTATGTTGCACTAGCGTTATTATCAAGGTTGTAGTGATGCTTTACTACAACATTTCTAATGTTCAGTGATAAACTAACAGGAATGATTTATAATGGTAGAATAAATTGTTAGATGTTTGATGTTGTCTTTATACTGTCACCAGTATGCAACTTGCGCTATAGTGCCTCCTGGTAAGAATTACTTTCGACAATGGAATCGCATTTTCAAAAACCTCAACTATCAAATGTTATAGTTCTCTGATGACCAATTTTTGAATTATGGACGGTAAAATAGATCAACTAACTTTATATTAAGTACCTATATATATAACAAATTATATTAAATTAGAGACTGAACTTTCGACATTCTTAATGTTCTGGATAACAGCTAAAAAATAACAATATAAATTCTTTGCTTGTTTGTTTTTGTAAACATTCTTTACAATTTCTGAGAGATGAGAGTACTCATAAAAAAATCGACTCTCTGTAAGCTCAATAATTGCTTTTTTTACAGAGGATCCGATGATGTTTGGACAAAATGGTGATCACCTACCTCGTTAGTATTCCAGCGATGGCGCTGGGAAGAGAAATGATCCACTTTTGGAATAGTCTCCAGGTTGCACGGTAGTTTCGGTCGGCTTTGATCTGTTGTGAAGAAAATGAGATATATAAGAGGCAAGTACGTTTAAAATGTTATACGTCCTTTCCACTTTATCAACATTGATATATATACAGGTAATTCCAACTGATAAAGGAATCACTGAAAGCACTTAATATTAACACAAACAAAGCCACCGACATTTTTAATAAATCGATCAATTAACCAAAAAGATATCTATGGATCTTAAAGAAAAACATTACATTTTTTAGAATGATCCTGATTTTTTGAAATGCATCGTGCTACAGAACATTAAAGTAGCATGTATATATATATTTGATTTAGAATTATAAAATGTCACATATTAGGTATAATGTTAATGCAGTGCATGCGTTGATTCGATATATTGAGGAATTTAAGGCATTTATAAATCTATAAAACCTGTAAAAATTACATAATATCGATATCATATACAATTACTATGACAATTACTAAATCATCAAAATTTATCTATATTGATCTAATTATTTATCTAAGGCTATATTTTATTTGTCGACCAACATATACACATATTTTTGATTCCTACAAGCTTATCAGGATTTTGGTTTAGACAGATTTCATAAATACTAATAGAAATTCGATGATCTACAGAACGCACCGTATTTTAACGTATTCATATACGTAACATAGCACCGGATGAATTCAATACGATAAAATGTTGTATAACTTCTGTCAAAACTTAAGCACTGATAGTATAAAACAGAATATGGTATGAATAAAATATAACGTGTATAAATATGTAAACTCTCAAAATGACAACATTTTAAAAAATACTCTAAGGAATAGTATGTAAAGGTAAAAATAATAATACTAAAAAACAGTCTTAGAGGATATAACAGCAAAACATAAAGATAAGTAAATTAATCTATGGTGATTAGTACGTGCATCAGTAATAAAATCATGCGAGAACCAAGTACAGCTTCTCTATATACATTTTACATCATTCAAGTTCGTCTGCTTTGGATATTCGCGCAAAGTACATAACGGCTATCTGAGCTAGTTGTCCCTAATTTTTAAATTGGTAGACTAGAGGGAAGGCAGCGAGTAAACAGAACCCATGCCAATTCTTGGGGCACTCTAATCGAAGAATGGGATTTTATTGCCACTCTTATGACACATCCAAGGCCCAACATACACAGAGCGATTTTGCGGCAACAGGACATGAAATATGGACGTTCAGATTCACAGCCCGTTAAATTAACCAAGAAGATTAACAAAAATCATAATCACTATGCTCACATTCGCTAAAAACCCGTTTAAGTGTCATGACTAAACCTAGTAAAGAGTTATAATAGCTTATGGAAATTACAGAAACAACAAAACATAGGTTCAATGATATTAGTCGATCACACACACACACACACACACATATATGTTTTCCAAGATGTCTCTCACAGCAATATCAGGTCGTTGAAACTTTCTTTACAGAATTCATATAGATACACAGTTTGCACACTGCTAAGTACTTCAGAAGGATGTGGAACCATATATTCATGCTGAAGTGAGTGGGCATGTCTTATCAGTTTCCGCCTTATTTACCAACTTCCAAACTCTATCTTGTGGGTTCTCTTTCTCTCTATATATATATACACAGGCAACAGTAGAAATAACAACAACAAAGGCTATATACCCACAGCCTAATTCATTTGTAAGGTTATATCTCTACGTATCACATTACCAACAACTAATTTCAGTCTATGAACTACACGTTGCCTGAAAACATGCTACACGATAACTTCAGTACTGGAGCCGTGCAAAAATGTATCAGACGTGTGAAATCTCATATTCAAACCTAACTTTCACTTTCGTAGGTCCATTCTAAATAAAGAAAATATATGCTGAACTAATTATCTGAGACTACTTACATTAGTACCAGATTGAATACGCATAAATTACTGAGAGAAAATACGCAACTTAACTCACAGTAAAATTAAGCAGCAAAGTAAGTGAGGGGGGGAAGGGTACCAAATTATAATCATTAACATTAAAACATGATTTAAAAACGTATATCGTATTAATTTACTATATTTATAACTGTACTAGAGTATTGAAAATTTTGACTTTTATAATGCTTTGTACACCTTCTGTCCTGCGAACACGATTTACTAAAAAAAAAAACGACCTTGATTGTATATTATGTAAATAATAGGCCATTTAAAAATGTGTACGTTTTAAACACACAGTACAATTTTATAACGTATGACAAAAAAAATTACCATTTTAACGCTACGACACCAGTTCTTCAACCGATGCCTGACGCAAGTTCCTGAGAGAAAGTGACTGTGTGTGTACTGAGGTGGTCTGAGAGTTTGATT